AGATGCTTGAAAAGAGCCTGTCGTAATGAAAATGAACTGCTCTAATGTGGCAAGTCGGGTCAATCGGTTCATAATTGTTCATCCCCTTTCGAAAGGCTCCGGAAAAACAAGAAACCAGGAAAAGCTGAGTGACGCAAAGCGCCTCGTATTGTTCAGGTTGTCCCGGTTTTTTATGTCTTTCTGCGCTCCTCAAAACGCACAGTGTTCGGTTTCTAAACGCTGTTTTTATTTTCGCACAGAAATAAAACGAAAATACGTAGTAATTTTTTCACACCAGTGCATTGCAATAGAGACTTCGATTTCCAGCAAGCTGCTTTCCGCCATGCTTCCATGTCATCCTCCAGGCCGCGAATGTTTGTGCACAGTGATTAAACTATTTACATCTAAATTAACATGCACTATAAATCTGGTACTTTCTTTTAAAAGCAGCATGTTACAGCGCATGAATTCTCCCAGCGTCTTGCCTTCTAATCGCCGATATAGAGTGGTGTCCTTTCTCCGAGAAGCGAAATTGTGATAAAATTCCGTTGATCGGCAGCTATTTTTTGTATTGGCGCGAAAAAAGAGAGAGAAAGAGAGAGGGAGGGGGGGGGGGGAAGCAACGGTTTCCGCAATCTGATCTTTTCTTTTTTTTCTTTTTTTTTCAATTGCAATATTTTTGTGTGTGTAGGTATGCTTTCGTGGTGTTAACAATTTTACGCGCTCCCCACAAATATTTCATCGTTAACGACAGTTTTAAAGTATTACGCACTGCCTCGGGTTCTTTGACCTTAGGCATTAGAGCGTCACAGGAGCGAGTATTTCCGCAAAATAAATACGAGGACCTATTTCTCCCTTTGAACCGACCACTTTTGTGGCATCACGACGAACACACTTTCACCATGAAGTCGTAACAAAAAAATGAATGATGATGAAATTGATTGGGCCCCAACAGTAGAGCCACACTATTTAGGTTGCAAATAAACTGGGCGTCGTTCATGTGATGTGTTTACTTCCAGGTTCGAATGCGTTGAGAATGAGTAGCCGAAAAGCGCAGTGGCTCGATATTTCCCCAACTCGGGAAAGGGGGGGGGGGGGGAGAGAGAGAAAGGGGTGGTTGTTGTGGGAAGGTGATATTTATTCTCACTCAGGAGAGTCGCCGGTCGTTAAAAAGTCGACTCGCTGACAACGGGAAAGCCTGAGGGGGCCACATCTACAGTAACCAAGAGTAAAATGTGGAATACACCTATGTTACTGATAAGTTGCGATAGTGCAAACGATGGGGCGTTGTGGAGGCAAGTGAAGCAAATACCTATCTTACGATTGTGCCGTCTTCATTAGAAGCAGGAATGTCGGTTTGCTTTTTCAACCCCTCCTTGCGCCAATCTTTCCAATTTTGAATAAATACGGGAAAGCGTGGAACGCGGAAGCCCGCGCCAATATTTAAAGTTGTTTATCAAGTTATAAAACAGTCATCAAGCAGAGGTAAGGACAAATAAATAAGGAAAAGAGTCCAAAATGGGGTGAACAACCTTTGAGAGGAGATGTTTTACAAACAGTAATGAAGAAATTAGGGAAAGCCACTTGATTTATAAGTTTCGTAAATAAATGTATTATCGACGACCTGAACCCTTTATTGCGCAAGCCAATCCTTGTGCAGACACGGGAATGGTTCCAGCAGCCGCGCGATGCCAGAGAGCGGCTGCTGGAACGAACCCAGCATACCACGACCCCTCGATCTCCACCGACCGAGCGGCCTCGGACCTGCAGCTCATGGGAAAAAGCGTTCGGTCGCGCTGGCTTTCTCAATCTCGCGGATTGAGCGTGCCCGCGTCAATGAGGGAAGACACCTCGACGTCCCTAGGTCGTTGTGGCGCTCGCAGCTAGCCGCTCGTTTCGCGCCTTTTGAGGATTATCTCTGCAGAAAAAACCGACACAAAAGAAGCCTCTGCCGTCACGTAATTTGTAGGAGAGGGCGGAAAGAGGAGGGCTTGAGGGGCATTTTCCTACCTTGCGGAAAATGGTTTTGTTGGTCGGTCTTTAAGTTATCTTTTTTTCAGAAACTTTGGTTGTTTTCATATCCGTCACTATATGCCAAGCATTCGGCGCTCGAACCTCAAGACAACAAAGATTAATCTTTGTTCATGGTTCCGGCATCTGTTTTTTCAGACGCAAATAAATTATTTGGTTTGATTTTATATAAGCGTACACTTTTATCATGCACAGCATTGTTGCCAGATTGGGCCAACGGGCGAACCGAACCGCTAGAACACGAAGCATACTCAAAGTGGATTAAGAGCACACTTTAGATACTGAAATAATGCTAGACATACTTTCGAAGTACACAATTTGTTTTACAAAAGTGCACAGGTATACTATTTTCGTATTGATTTTCACAAGGGGAAATGGGGAGGAGGAGGGGAGCGTTCAGAACTGATTTGCGAATTTGAGCACGGCGGGTTCCCTCTTAATGGTGCTGAGAACTGGTGTCCGTGGCTGACTATCTGGCACAAACCTCCACAAAATTAATAGGAAATGCACGAATCCATGCATCTGCGTCGTTATGAAAACAACAGTCTGACCTACGCTTGTTTGGAGAGTGATCTTGAATTAAGAAAATCTTTTTATTCAAAGACATTGCTCGTGTTTAATTATTTGGATTCCTGAGGCCTCTTGAGGTCCCATTAAAATGCTGGTACCAACCTTCCTTGTGCAATATTGCGGCCCCCTGAAGTAAATTTGAATTATGGAAATAAAAATATAAAGCTCATAACAAATTGCTAGAAAGCTCAGAAAAAAGCCAATCACACAACTATGTGTGCTTCTTCCAGTTTTATTGTCCGATACTCGGGAAATGTAACTTGCCCCTAAGCTTGCCTGAGTTTTTACCTTTTCGGTATAAGACGTGTACGTTTGACGTGCTCACATATTTAATTGTATTTAACAAAGATGCGGCAGATGTATTTCATTTTTTTTTAATATGTCATTAAGCGCATCGGATATGGTTATAGGCCACGAATTAAAGAACGTAAACGTTTTTCCAGTGTTGGAGAAGTCCTAATACACATAGAAAATTTTCAATTTATTTTATTTAATATTATTTACTCGTTTATTCTACTCTGCATGTAACACTCTACTGTACGAGGTAAATTACATATCAAATATTTAAAAAAAAACGGAAATATTCAAAAACTGCGATACAATTTGCCTTCAGATTTATGCAAAGCAGAATAGCGTTACGAGCGCGACGCATATACGCGTTCCCTCTAATGGGAGATTTCCAATTCGCTCGGGAGGATTTCGCGTTGAAGGGGCGCTGTCTAATGCAAGTGAGCGAAGTATGTATGTATATATATATATATATATATATATATATATATATATATATATATATATATATATATATATATATATATATATATATATATATATATATATATATATATTTCTTGTAAAATATTTGGTTTTTAATTCTCCGGAGGATGCGTGTAGTGCCTGGAGCCGTTTGTGTTCTTTGTATGGGAAGAGCTTCTTGTGGTAACTGAATAACTCGCAAAGGGAGACTAATCGCACCTTCTAAACAATACATAGGCTACTGCGATAAATTGGGATGTCATACGCCCGCAGGGTTATCTGTTGGTGCGTGGAAGAGGAATGTACTCAATGTTTCAGACACATCGTCGCTTTTGTCATCGGCGCACCCATCATGGAAAGGTTGTCGAGATAGTGGCGATATGATTAATGCGACTACGTCACCCTTCCAACCTTCACAATAGACAGGGCTTCCAGCGCTATATTTGCGCGCAATTTTAAAATCGGTTAAAAACGTAAAAAATATATTATTTAATATCTCAGGAACTATTATATTTTCAATAATATTTTAAATTGTTCTGGCATCTATAGACGAAACAAATTAGGACTAAACTGGGAGCTGCTCCCACCCTTTTGTACTTTCGCAGAATGAACTTTCGAGACGAGGTCGCCTCCTCTCCAGCGTTCGCTCTGCTGAAATGGAGAGGAGTGAGAGGAGCTTCTATTTCACTCCTAGCCTGTCACCGACTATAGAGTATTTGGTATAAATACAATTTTTGCGGTCTGACCACTAAAACGAATATTTTTAAAGTTTCTTCGCCAACTTTAGTTATTTAGCCTACTTACTATGACGATTATTTCCTCATCTAATGTTTATCTAGCTTCATAAAATACACGGCGAAGACGGTAATTGGACTCTTGTCCCCTGTTCTAAAAATATATGTTCGAATCAAAAGCGTACACTCTGTATATCGAAGTAATTTGTATTATCAATAGGTTACTGAACATGAAACCAACTTCAAATCATAATAATGAAGTACTTTACGCTAAAATAAAAACAACTAAAAAAATGCAGATTTTTTTTATGCCATGATTATTCTCGCGTATTATTATTTGCTTATTTTTATTTGCTTATTCTCACACCCATCTTATTTATAAAATATTTCTAATGACTCGTGTTCAGGGCAAAGACCCGAAGTAAACAAACAATGAAATCCAAAAAGGATGCAGAAAGTCCTGACGGAAATGGATATATTTTTATTTGTTCTACGTTCAGAGTGACGTTCTGATTTATAACGAAATAACTAAATGCGAACACTTCATGTCTGGCCAGTTTCCGGTTTACCATATGTTGCCATTAAAGTTCCAACTGAGCTTTAAACGTAAAAGCGCAACATGTGGAGCGTTCATTGCCACCCAAACATTCACTTTTTGACAAAAACGAAAAAAAAAAATTCATGCATCGAAGTTCATTCAACCATTTCTAAACCTACGTCATAAGATGCATTCATACAAGAAACAGCTACGTCTGGCAAAATTAGTTTTGATATTACGCTTGGTTTCTTGATTGTGTAAGGTTACAAGTTGTTGGGGTGACGCCATATATCACATGTAAAAACAGTTGCCACCTTCCGGTTTGGATTAATTTAAAAAGGTGCTCGTGCATTATTAGATATTTCCTGTCTTTCCGCGATTCTAACAGTTCAAAAATGAGGGTTGTTATCGTCGCGCTGATTTCAGCATCATTTATCGTTTGTACGTCTGCTAAGGTTAAGACGACAAAGAAAAAACCTTCAGGTATGTAATTCCATTAGAATACCTATTGCTAACTTCGCAATCATCAAGGAAAGTTCTGGGAATGTAGGTACAAGCGCCGCACGCTCTCGCCTTTTCTGCATAAAAGGTTCGAAGTAAATAATCAAAAATAAGTAGTCGTTCAACGCGAGTGAAAGATGCCATTTGTTTCAGGCTTTTGCTTTAAAACAGTCGCTGCTGCACGCGCCGGTTCGTGCAGCGCGTGTAACTACACTCGCAACGTGCACTTTGGTTCTTGGGTAATTTAGCAAACTTGAACTATATATTTGTAGATTCGAACAGTGTGTTCACTCTTGAGTAATAACGCTTCGTGGTAAATCAAACAGTCGAGTTTCTAACACTAACACCTCTTCGCCATATTTGAACTCAACCTGTCGTGCTGTATTGCGCTGTACAAATTTAACGAATCCCGGCAGAAAAAGAATACTCGGAAAGGAAGCCCTGATATAGCATTAAAAAAGAACCAAACGCTTGAATGAAGCGCTAAGTTTCTTAGCCAAGTACCAGCAGATATTTTAACCTGGGAATTTGATAGTCTCATTTCAATTTCAACTTGAGTGTTTTTGGTGGTCACATTGTGCATCCACTGAAGCGCCAAATAACTAGCACAAAAAGTACATATCAAATACGAAACGAGCTATATGAGCATATTCGTACTCTATTGATTTATGTGTCAATTGATGTTAAAATTTCTTTGAACCATTCTAGTAATAGAGGGCAGCAATTCCACGAAAGGCACTTCTTGCCTTACCGTATACGTACAGTGCAGTAGTCAAGATAAAAGTCCCTGCCCAGGCAGGGCAATTTTCGGGAAGAATTTAGGTTTCTGTCTAGAAATGTAGGGCCCCCCGAAACCCGAAGAAATCAAGGTAGAGTCAAGCTTAATTTATATAACCAGAGTTTGGCATTGTTGCCATAATTGACCGTATAAATGCCAAAGTTAGGCGTCACGGCTGCGTGGTCCAGACGTGTTCGCACCCTTTTTAGCGCCACAAATACATCTGTACTTTCTGATCGGAGAGCGGAGGGGGGGGGGGGGGGGGGCGGGGGGGGGCGGGGGGGCGGGGTGGGGGGGGGGGGGTCTATGGCCGAGTGGGCGCGTTTAATAGCAACAATGACTTCTGGTACACGTAACTCAAGCTCCAGTGCACCGAGTCTGGAGACAGTGCACAAGGAGCAAAGAAAGCAAAGTAAGCATATTTCCGGTTTGCAACTAAATTCCGGTGCTGAGAGAAAAAGAATGGCGGGAGAACTTGCGTCGGCTGTGGCGTGGGCCTAGAGACTGCTCGCCTTCATTACTGAAAAGTGCTCAATATAAGACGAATAGCGTGTTCGGATTTCGTTGCCACCTCAGACACGTTCGGGGAACGTCTTGGAGCACATTTTTTGTTGATCTGCTAATTAGCCACGTAATTATTTCACTTGGCGCCGTATTTTGATCGCGGCTGCACGAAAACTGGTTAAATAGTGACGATAGTCCTGTCCGTGCTGAACTGAACAAGGCAAAATAGGAATATAACTTTGCTCCGCGGCTCGTCACTCAAGCAGAACATGATTCCGACTAATGTTTGGTTAGCGTAGTTAAATAGGAGTGCATATCCGAATATTAGACGTTAGCTGACGCTCGCTTCGGCCGACAACACCTTGATCGCCAAGCGCGCCCGAATTCCCATATGTATACGCATACATTTTCTAGGAATCCGTAAATAAGTGCAAGAACAATCATATGACCGTGTAAATGTGTCAGAGCCGTCGGCGTAGACACACCCAGTCTTATATTTTGCGTCTTTTGGCGGCATTTTGTAATCTTATCATAACAGTACCGGCCTTTGCACCGCCCTGCGATGAACTCAGTCGCTTTGGATCACCGTGAACAGCAGCGCAGTTGTCTAGACTCACTACGATTTTTCTCTAACGGCCTTGTTGAGACTTATTGAATATTGGCGTCAAATTAAAGTGAACGTGCTGGGCGTCGACTGGTTCTATTTTATTTGGACTCCATCTGCCACAGGGTAGAAAGCGGGAACAGTGTAGAAGCAGCTGAAGAGCCGCTCGTTTTTGCCATTTAGTTGACTCTCGGAGAACTCTTACTCCAGTTGCTACGTCTGGAGCTGAGGGAGCTGCTACGGAACGCACCCAGTGTGTTGGCGCACCGAACCTCCGAGCAGGAGGAGCGAGAGCACGCGCTGCAGGTCCCAAGGACCGTATTCATTCAATGAGGGCTTTGAGGGTTGTGGTGAAGGAGCACTGATTTGAGGTGTTCGCGACGCTGTACAAGCTAGGTGCAGCGTATTCGGCGACGCGGTCGGCCATCTGCTCGAGGCGGTCAAAGGACAGACGTTCTAACAAGAACCGGCATGGGCTTTAGCACAAGAAGCCTACCGCGTCAACCAAGAAGGCGAAGCTTCTCTTGATGTCGCAGCTTATCGCAACAACGGCAAGGCGATACCTGTTGGTACCACCAGACATTCGGCAACAGGGTACGCAAGGGTGAACAAAAATGCCGGTGGCAGGAAAACGCCCGGCCCGTCACTAGAGGCGACAAGTGATCAAGCCCCGACAAGAAGCCGTTTGTTTTTCATCACAGAACGAACTTAAGGCCGCCGCTTCTTGCTCAACATCGGAGCGGAAATATCTGTCCTTCCTCCAATAATAGCAAAAAGACGACGCACGCAGACCGGGTCCCACCTCATTTTGGCAAGCGGATGCAACGTTCCAACACTCGGAATACACTCGGTAACCCAGCACTTGCGATCACGCCGAGTCTTTCGAGGGATTTTCGTCAGCCGATGTGACATACCCACTCTTGGCTTCTGATTTCCTTTCCCACTTTGATTTGGATGTCAGCATGCACCACCATCGCCTAATTGACAACAGAACTCGCCTAGCTGTCAATGGAGCGTTTGCCAACTTAACGTCATTTGGCCTTCGAAACATCCTTAATAATAGTAATAATGCTTTTTTTCCTTATTGCCCACAAATATCAATGAAGCCCTTTGTGTGGTGCATACCGTTGAACCCATATTTAAAAACGTATCTGCTCATCTTTATCCTTCTAAAGATACAAATACGCTGTAAATACTAGTTTTATTTATTATATTGTAGAAGAACGCAAGTTGATTGTAGTTGAATGGTGTTCGTTTTCAAAGGCGAATCTACGTTCTCTACAAAAGGACGTTTAGACCGAATGTTACTTTCTCACCAATTTCATTTTTGTATTCATAAAATGTGACAGGCTACATCATGTTTTTAGTATTATTTTTTTTTTAACTTACAGATGCTCCGGTTGTAACACTTGACTACTTGTTGTATGAACCGGATGGAGAAACCGCCATGTGGATATCCGAGTTTAACTCATCGCTGGACAAAGTTTACCAAACCGTAATATACTTTGCATTATTATCTCTCAAATTAAAAAAAAAAAAATGGTGTATCTTTTAGCACTTATACGACTGTGTGACAAAAACTTAATGTACTGAATCAGTCGCGAGCTCTGCTACTTTTCTTTTACGCTTGTATTGCTATGTTGTGCATGCTTAGTTTCGTCTCCAACGGGGCAGTACAATACGGTCTGATTTATAATTTGAGAGAAAACACTGTTTTGAAGAATCTCTCAAATCAAAGAAATGGCAAACAGCATGTCCATATATTTTCTTTTGCGCTCAATTCTTTTAATTCATCAAGCGGAAATCGACAGCTCCTCGTTATTAAAGATCGCATGTTTGATCTTCCATTTTCTTTTTACCGTAGTTATCGGCCTGCAGTTTTCACAGACTCTATATATAGGAAATAATGTACAAAATAAACTTAGAACTTTATTCAGATTTTAATACTTGTCGAAAACTGAAGTCCACGCGATTTTTCGATTATGGATGGCGAGGTTTAGCAAACTGCTTAGTTTGGTCAACGATTTTTCAAATAGATTTCTCAGACATTTTTGGAGTCAGAGATTTTCTCCGACTCCAAAAACTGAATATTGTAACCTCAAAAGAAAACACTGGCGTGCATTTGAATAAACAACCAATTTTCTAAATATTGCAAGTTGATAAGCAATTATCTGAAGAACCGATTATTTTTTTTATTTCTTCCGCCTTACTCTTTATTATCCTTAGAAGTTAGCACGATATTTTGTTATCAGCAAGCAATATAAAGAAATATACCATTTTTTGAATCCTACGTTTATAGACAGTTCCATTAGGGTCATAGCAGAGAGGGTAAAAAGAGAAAAAAAAATGCCCCCCACCTCTCGCCCGCATGTCGTCTGCTCCGCGGAGTGGGCAGTACCTAGCATCCGGCTGGCGTACAAACTCTGTTTAAAATCGCGTCATTTTGAGAATTTCAAGCGCAGATGCGCAGGTATTGGTATGCTAGTTATTGTGTAATACTATGCTAGATAAAAAAAGACTAACAGAGTCCGATTGCGCTGTTACCTGCGTGCAAAAAAAAAAAAAAAAAATAGAGAAAATTGTGTCAGACTGGCCGGTCTCTCCGGCGGAAAGTGAATCCGGTGGCTGTACCTTTTTTTACTATACAAAGTTTGTACTGGTGTAGGCCTTTAGCGACCATGAGTGGATGTCTGAAATAATAAATAAAAACGTGCTCTCCTGCCGCAATACACGTAGTTGAAGGTAGTACTGCCGGCTGACTCAACTGTTATTTAAGTAACGGAAAAAAAGATATGTCAGCTGATCATTTACCGAAGTAGAACAACAGAGAGCTCTAGGCTGATTTTAGAATAGTCATAACTATTCTAAGAACGCGAACCACTTCACAACGGCAGCCACGAGCGAGAGTTTGATGTTCCCTACAGCCCGCCGATACAGCCCAAAGATGGAGAATGGCAACCTCCCGTTTTGTCGTCTGCTAGCGGAGTCGGGCGCCTGCCCTCTCTCTCGTTTTACCTTGCCGAACCCGTTGAATTTCCCGGATGTATGGAGAGGGCGCTGCTGTTGAACAAAATGGTGCCGCCCAGAGAGCGCTAAATGGAATGCTTTATAGCTTGGTACTCCTGAAACATATAAATTTAATGTCAGTCTTATAACAAGTTCCATGCATACACCGAACTCTCCCCTTATATTACCCCTTACAGTTTTGTTCAACCCCTACATTTTTGTTATCCACTTACATTTTTGTTAGTATAAGTTATCCCCTTATATTTTAGGGGCGAAGCTCCTTAGGGGCTAGTCATGTCCGTACGTCCGTCCGCCGTCGGGTCACAAGCACGCGAGCACGTGCTCCCGTGCCCGTGTAGGGCAAAAAAAAAAAAAAAAACCGCATCTTCACGTGGTGAATGATGTTGATTGGGGCGAAGCTCTGGTGGTGCTTGTGTGCGTAGACGGTGAGCCGCAGAATGCAGAGCCTTTCATTCGTTTTCATCCATGTCAGAAAGAAAATGTGCGGTATGGAAGGTGGTTATATACGCACTTGAGCATTTGACCGCAGCGTGACATGGATGAAAACGAACGAAAGGCTCGGCATGCTGCGGCTCAGCGTCTACGCAGACAAGCACCACCAGAGCTTCGCCCCAATCAACATCATTCACCACGTGGAGATGCGGTTTTCTTCTTTTTTTTTTTTCAATGTATGCCACAGCAGTTATTCCTTCAGAGCCCGTATTAGGTATTTAACCAAACAAAGATGTATTACTGAGCCCCTGGTACTTTTATGCACGCCATCTTAGGAGATTCAACATATACTAGATGTCATGATAAAACAAAGACCTCCGCCTTGACTTAACAAAATTAACAGTTTAATCAGATTCATCTCGCATGTGGGAGACATCCTCAGTGAGTGCCAACAGGGACACGAGTGAGAGCCCAGCAACCCAACCCTATTTCAGAAAATCCACGTACACATATTTAAGTGCGGAGGTTAACACTGCAAGCCGATTGGTCGCCTCAGATGTACCACGATTCCAAGCATTTCCGGGGACCCCACCTTTGCTCCCCTCTCAAGATATCTGCATTGTCAAAATCAAAGCTATGTCCTGTGGTCGAGCAATGGTCAACCAGCTCGGTATTTGACGTTGTGGCATGCGTCGCCCTTAGCATGTCCCTTTTATGTCCTTTGAAGCAGGTGCTTCGCTTGCGGTCGGTTTCCCAGATGTACGATGCGTCATAGTTCCGACCACTAAACTTGAATGGGCACCCCTTTCTGAGATTCGGGAGGTAATCATGGCGTATTACACCTGAAACTGCGGTGGAAGAAATCGGAAGAACTTTCAGTAGAAGGAACAGACACAGAGAACGTCTCAGGTGAGACGTTCTCTGTGTCTGTTCCTTCTACTGAAAGTTCTTCCGATTTCTTCCACCGCAGTCTCAGGTGTAATACGACATATTTAGCTACCACCAGCTCGCCTGCACACTCACCGTCTTTTCACTAATTCGGGAGGTGTTTCGTCCTTCGGTTTGAAAAGGAGGTTCTGTAGCCTAACATGCGGCTTGAAGGTTGTCCTGGCATCTAAGGGCAGGAGGGCGCGGTGTATCGACTTGGACGCCCTCTTTACATTCGGAGTTGTTACAACACCCGTTTGAACGTCTTTTCCTCTTTAGGGATGGTTCGGTGCGTCTGTTTACGTATGTTATCAATCAACCCTCGCGGATAATTACGTTTATTGAGAGATCCGACAATGACAGAGTCCTCAGCCGTGGGTAGTTCTGGATTCGAGGTAATATGTTCCGAACGATAAAGAAGCGTTCTTTCAAATGCTATTTTATGCTCTGTGGGGTGGTGAAAGTTAAAATTTAGAAAATTGTCGGTGTCACAGGGCTTACGGAAGACAGCGGTTTCTATCTGCTCTGTGCTCCTAAGACTTACATTCCCATCTAGGAACGGTAGTGCGTAGTTATTTTCTAACTCGCACGTGAACTGGATTGCCGGATCCACGCTATTCAAGGTCAGGTGAAAGTCGCCAACATTGTCTTCATTTAAAATCACAAAGGTGTCATCAACACACCGTTTATAAATCTTCACTGTGCATGCAGTCAACTTAAGGGCAAATTCAATTTGTTCCATTCCGAGATTGGCCATAGTAACTGTTAATTCTTTAAATCAACTCGGTGCATTCGTTTAGCATGTCCAGTCCCGGCTTTTGAAACAGTTTTGCACTAGAGATTATGAACAAAATAAAACGGCAAAGTGGTTAATTGGGCTAGTTGGTTCAGGTTGCAATTAGAAAAAAAAAATAAAAACCAAGAATAAGGGGGCATGACGTACAAATCGAACAAAACAAGGCGCTCCTTGTATCGTTCAATTGAGTTGGTATCGCTTTTTTTTGTGCTTTTTTAAAACCTTGAAAATAATAGGTTTTAATTTATCTTCGCTTAAAAAACGTTATTTTATTTAGATTCACTCAAAATGTAAAAAAATGTATTTTTTTATTCCTCACACACCCTTACACAATTTTTGAAATGTACTTCTAAAATAATATTTGACAGTGTTCTCCTAAAAGATTTTACACCCAGAATATCTTCAAAAAAGGATATAATTTATATTTTTTTCAAATGTATCATCATTACGATATGTAAAATATAAAGAACCCAAACGCTTGCAATACTTGTTTGATACGAGTGACGACTCTTTTCATTCCCACTTTGAGCTCTGAAATATTTTATACTATAACACGACACCAAGCTCCTAGATTAAACTTAAACATGCCAGCTTAGCAGCGAAAAATGATAAGAGAAAACCTGCTGCCAGGAATTGGACCCAAGGCATGAGAAAGCCCGAAGCGCCGCGAACTCTCGGACCTAGGTTTCCACCGGGTAGCTTGCGTTTCTCGCACGCAGTGGCCGTGCTGTTAACAGGAAACATTTTCAGTTAGAAGCAATACCAGTCATGCTATCGCAGTATTTGAGTAGGTGGTGTTGGCGGACCACTGCAAATACCGTGCTCGATAAATGTTAAGGCCGCCAACAGATGAATCGTTTTTGAAATGCTTTGCGCTTCTTCTGGGCCTAAATTCAAACTACTTGAAGTTTTGACAATCTCAACCGAGCCTGGGTAGGTATGATGTGCGAAGAACTGCTGCGGCGAGCTATTATACTTTGAGCAGCCGGCAAAACGGAGGGAGGCTGAAGGGGAGGAGATTTGGAGAGCAAGCACATGGGGACGGCAGGATAGTGGGTAGATTCAAAGGCTAGCTACTTTTGTTTCGTTTCTTTGCTCACTGTCCAAACACGGTCGAAGGCGAGACACTGCGCAAGAGGGTCTAGAACATTTCGGTACGGGACGTTTCGGGACCGGACGTTTCGGTGTATACAGTTCGGTACGCGGTCGTTTCGGAACGCGGCCGTTTCGGTACGCGGCTGTTTCGGTACCGTGGTCATTCCGGTGCTGCGCATCTCGATGAATGAATCTTTGAGTCAAGTTTGTGTTGAAAGCGTTTCGTTTTAAAGCAAATGTAGTCCTTGAAAACGACGATGGATTAGTTGTTAGATTGGTAGAAGGCAGGTACCTTTTTACAGAATTGATTAAGCCGATGTAAGATGCATTGTTTACTCATATTTAAGCAGCAGGTGTAGCGAGCTTATACGAATATATGTTTTAGAAATGCAGGAGATCTAAAGCTGTTTTATATGCCGACGACTTCAATTTCACGATTTTGATAGGTCGGAAAACCCGCGAGTTTAACACCCAGTATGACCGTGGGAAAAATATGTGTTCTCCCCTCATTTGAGAGCTCGAGCTTTCTAAGTTTAAAGGTTGATCATTTTCCGGGCAATAACTACTGAAATAATTCACTAAAACATGCACAGTTGGTATTAAATTTAACTCATTTTCATTGGTATTACTAAAATGAACCGAATGTTGTGAAAGTAGCATATGCTTGAACCGTTTTCTCGCCGCTTGTCGTATTTGACCCCATCGAATAAAAGATTGAGTCCTCCTCGTTTGCTCGGTGAAAAGGAAGCCACCACCGAAGACCTAGCCCCGACGTGCAGACAGGCAATGACGGACAGGGAAATTAATCCTTCTATATTGTCACGAATGAAGGTGACGCGAAGATGAACAGTGAACTTAAAATGTAGGCTTACTCTGCGAACTTGTGCCAGACGAAATAAAGAACGAGCGTCCAGGCAGCAGAAAAGCGGGAGGGAATTTGGCGGCGTAACAGTAAGTGAGAGCGAGTCTGACTCGACAAAGTCGAGGGCCTCTCCTTATCTTAGTGTGCGTCGGCGTCGGCATCGCGAAACTTCGGCCCAGAGGGCTCGAGAATCGAGCGTTTGGGGTGAGAATGAACAGGCACTTTCGAGAACAAGAAGCTAGGGCGAAATGATAAAAGCATAAAAGCTATGTCCCGAATAAGAATAAACGCGAATCTTCTAGAGTACCGTGACCTGCCGCTGCTTGCTCGGCCCTGCGTGCGGAAAAGGGGGCTGGGGGAAAGGGAGGCTTTGGGAGCCGGATGCAGACGGAACGCTGTATTCAGGGTATACATGGAGATATTAGGAAGTTTTAGGGAACCATTTTTGCACATCCGATACGGTCCGATGCGCCCTCCGGTTCGAACTGCGCACATGCAAGTCTTTGTGGCAGCGCCTGCGCAGTTCGTACCTGAAGACCCATTGGACCATATGGGATGTGCAAAAACGGTTCCCTAAAACTCCCTATGAACTAGATAGGTCAGCAGGGCTGGTCAAGGTCAGCGGTTCCCTTTGACTATACCCTATACTGAAATGACCGGTACTGAAATGACCACGTGCCAAATTGAACGCGCACCGCAAACACCATGTACGGAAACAACCGTGTACCGAAACGACCGCGTACCGAAACGTTCGCACCGAATTGTCCGGTACCCAAATGTTGGGTATCGAAACGTCCGGTTTTCTGCGCAAAAAGCAGGTGACGCTTTTGTTCGTTTTGATTCGAGAAGGACAACGAGTAAATGCAAAAACCAGATAGCTTTCGGGGCTACCCACAAACGCCTCTCATCAGATCTCGGCGTTGTGGCGTCTGCGCGGGCCATTATCTACTCCTCTTTCTCAGTTTTTCTTCGTCTAGGTTATAATACGGATAATCGACTTACGGTGTTATGTCTAAAGATAACTGTACTTTTTATAGGCAAACACGTTTTATATTTAATCTATTTATTTTGTACTTGACTATCGTTTAGACACCTGCAGATGTAACTACAGTCACTAACTGTGGTACCAACATCAAAAATAAGAAACAACGCCTTAAAAGAAAATGCCACAATGCAAAAAAAAAATGGCACCACACTCGCCGTGAAAACAAAGTGGAAAATATAAATATATCAATTGAACGCCTTTGGGGAAGATAAGATTAATACAACCTCTGGGAATTAATCCTGGAAGTTTGTAGAATGTGGATCACTCAGATGACATCTATTTTAACACATGTCGTAGGTGAAAGGTGATCGTATGCAGGAAGGTGCTTCAAACTAGATTGTGTTTGAATGCCCCCGAGGATGATTTGTTTCAATCTGCAAAAGCGGATGAAAAGTAGTTATACTGAAAAGCATCCCTGGTAAAAAAAAAAAATTGTTACATTGCTGAATTGTGTTTTCTTCTTGTTGGTCGGCTAGGGTCGGGTGCAACATTGTCTTATGGAGCTATTTCGTTTCAGTGGTAGGTTAAGGGATGGAAAAATGTTAGCATAAAGGCCCTTTGCATGGCCACGTGCGGCAGGCTAGATAGAGTATAAAGCTCTTGCATGCAAGACCTCCTTTCCTATACAATGTAAGGAAATACCGACGAAACATAACAGCACGATTTTAATCACCTATGCATTCCAACGTTTTGTTAGTCAATAATCAGTCAATATATATGAAATTCCATTTGCAGGCAAGTCGGTGGCTAAGGAAAGAAATATATTACAATTTAAAACTTCAAACTGGGAATATAGCTCAGGTAGGCTATATTAGAGGCATAATATTTTTTTTCGAAACTTACTGGATAGAAGTTTTTATAATAGTTACATTTTAAATTTATTCTCAACTAGGTCGACGAATATACGTCGTCAAAAGTAGACGATCTGAGAAAAAAGGGCAAAGAAGTGAATCCCTTCGACGCTTTGCATTACGTAATAAAAGAAGCAAAGGAATTAACTGACAACCCCTCTGACATTCTCTGCCTTGTCACAAAGTAAGTACAAGAGTAAATTAATGAACCTTTCAGAACCGGAGAGAACCCACCCCTTGGGCACGAAATGGTGATGTGTAGACACTTTGTTTTTGTAAATTGAAGAGCCTACTTAAATTTCATATTCTGTTATCCAACTTGGCCAATGTATTCTAGTGTATTAATAAGTACACTACTAAGCAGCAGTCTTGTACACGTTACTAAAAAAAGGTAATCGATTGCAATTACTATTACTCTTGGATAAAAAGTATTCGATTAGATTACTTGATTACTCGACGACAAAAGTAATTTGACATTACTTAAAGAAGTAATCGTTACTTTTCCGATTACTTTATTGTGTGAAACACATCTTTAGCGCTCATAGATATGAACTACTTCCAACCTATGTTCCACATTTGCACAAGTATTGAAGAAGAAAAACTGGCTCCCTCTTAGTGGTCGGTGCACCTTCACAATGCGGACACAAGCATAAAATTCGTTTGAAGACGTTTAATGATTTTGGGCGCTTGCCAATGTGTGTGTGTGTGGGGGGGGGGGGGGGGGGAGCGGAGGGGGTTCTAGATCTTCTTAAGCTTGAGCAAGGGTTGTCGCTCAAAATTGGCGTCGCTCATTTTATTATTCACATGTGGATGAGCTCGCATGTTATACAAAATATCAGCAGCTCCAGGATTTGAAACGGATCATGCGTAGTATCCATTAGCGGAAGAGATCGCCCCGACCACTTCTCAACTCGAAACATTGCTTGTCACAAAGACCACGTAGGGGAAATAGGGAAATATTTCAACTGCCTTTGTTATATTTTGCATCCGCTTTAGGCATTCTTCGGTTCTGGTTCTCGTACGGGCTGCGAGTAGGTACCCTAAGCAGGATTTTTTTTTATTTTTTTTTATTTCTGTGTGTGTGTGCGTGAGGGGGCTAGTTTGGAGGAAGGACTCACAAAGCTACATTCTGCTCCTCAAACTTCGCCCTGAATGGCCTTTGTCAAGCACTCTGGCTTCCCTGGCGCTTCCCACTCCCAGTACCAGCTCGAAAAAAAAAAAGAAAACAACGAACTTTGCACAGAAACTGTACATAGAAAGAGATTGACCTCGTTTCCTATAGCTCCGGAAATATCCTTTTCTTCCGTTCGAAAAAAAAAAGCAAATTTTATTTTTGTCATTTCATAAAAAAGAAACGTGTGGCCGGGGGGGGGGGTCCCGTGGACAAATTGTAACGGTTACATGTAATTTTATTACTTCAAAAAGTAATCAGATTACTCTTACGATTACTGCCTAATAAAAGTAATCAACTGATTACAAAATTACTCCAAAAAGTAATCGATTACAAGTGATTTGATTAATTGTAATGCGTACGGTACAAGTCTGCTAAGCAATCACTGATATTTGGTATTTTTAGTTATATGATGGGTAAATCTATAGTGAAATGATCTTGTTTAGTGAAATAAAAAAACAACATAAGCGTAAACTAGCCATGACGTCTTTTCTTCACTTGTGTTTTAATTGCTTACTTGAGAACTATTTGGCTTAATCACTTTCATAAATGTGGCAAGGCGTGTTGTAAATGCTTTACCAAACCATGTATCCAGGTGTTTTCGTTGCAGTTCAGGCACGGTTTTCGGCTCAAATTTTTAATAACAAAATTATATGTTCTAGGAGTATTCTTGAAATGAAAAACAGGGCAAACGTAAAGCATGGCCCATTTTTTTTATTGAATTATTGACCTTTGCAGTGGCCGAGACAAAAACTGACATTACCCACGGGGATTGCATGTTTGACCTTCCGCTATTTTTTTCAATGCTCAAATTAAAGCAGTATGACTCGTTCGTGGCACTCTCACTGTAAATTTATTTAGCTTTAAGTAATTAAAAAATTTTTATGTATTGAAATAATGTTTAGAAAATGTCCAATCGTGTCCCTTTGATGATTTTCAGCACAGCGTAGCGAGGTTTTCCGTGTGACGTATTTAATATATTTTATCCATTTTAAGATCGCCAGAAAACTCAAATATTGATATTTTAAATTGATACAAATTCAATATTATATAAACAAAATATAATTTGTCACATACATTTGAATTAACGACGTTACAGAAATCTTATAAATTAAAATATATTTCCTCAAAAAAATTTTTTATGTCCTACCATTTTATGGGGAGCAAGTTATATTAGTGTTGTATAACAAAACAAAATTATATGATATAATATTTTTGGTTATATAACTACAATTAGCGCTTGAATCCAGTAAGATATGTTTTATAAAAAGGCAAGCTTCACGGAGGAGTAAAATACTGTTAACTCTCTATTACGCGTAACTTTACTTATTTTGAGAGATTCGTGTAATTTAAGTATTCTCATTAGGTAGTTAACTACACCTTACCAGAACCTTGCGTAGAATAGCATCTTGGCGAGGATGCAGTAACAATGAACACTTGACAAGATTCAAGCTTTAATCACGATCATACAAACAAAATATATTTTTATTTATATTTGCATACAAACCAAAATCATACCTTGCGGTCAAAAACTCAAAGCAAGTATTTTTTTTAGATACTGTCGGGCCATGGGCATTCAGAAAGTCATATACTAGATTTAACATACAGGATGGTTATATATTTGTTAACCTAGATGTAAGCAACTATTTGAAGGCATGTCTTATGCGTCGCATATTGAAGACTGAAGATACACATTTGAAGGAAAAAAAAAACACTTTCAGAAGGCATGTCCTGGTGTTTCCGAATTCAAAAATGTAAAAAAAATTCAATTTGATAAAAAATCAAACACAAAACATTACAACCAACAAAATTCATTGCTGGATATATACATGGTCCATAGCACAGAACATATGTTTAGATGTGAATAAAAAAAGTCGATGCGCATTTTCAAATGTAGACACGTTAATAAGTCTAACAATATCTCCAGATAGTTTTTGTCTAGTCATTTATAGTTTAACAAGAACAAAAAAGAGTATGTAAACACATCATTACTGGAAAACGAATTCTGAGGACACCTAAGCACTTCTTATGAGTTGTGAATGTGAAAGCATGAACATCGTTCTTCTGCTCTTTTATTTTGTCTGCGGCAGTAGCGAAACGTGGCCGTCCACTGGCGTGGACGGCCACGTTTCGCTACTGCCGAGCTTCCGGCCGACGGCCGAGCGCGCGCTCCCGTGAAGCGGCCGCGCAGCGCTGAGCTGGGTCGTGCAGCCTCTCCGGAGTCTGCCTGAGCAGGCTCTGCTGGCTCTGCGGCAGTGTTGTACACGTCTCAAAAAAAAGGAACGAAAGCTCGTTCCTCGTTCCTTCTGATTTTTGGAGCGCGTTCCCGTTACAAGTTACATTTGTGAGAAAGGAACTCGTTCCCGCCACAGTTTAAGAAATGGCACGTATCGTTACATATACGTTACATTTGTATTTTGCTAATTACTATATCTAGTTTAATCAAGCAGAGATTTTTTCGTTTTTTTTATTTATCGCATTAGTAGTCAACATACGAGTTTGTATGTCGTTATGGAAGGGCAACAGGAGAAGAAAACAAGCGGAAGCAGGGTTTTATTTGTTGATATATTCAAGTTAAAAATCTCAGCTTTTAACCACATTCATGTTTGTAGTCGACGATTCAGACGAGCCGATTGTACTTTTACCCAACATTGTACGAGCGTTCTACAGCAACCTCACACGTTTCAGTTGAGCAAAGTCCCTTTTTCGAACTTAACAACAGTTGCTTCTCGATGTTGCTGTCCGCAAGACGAGCAAGTCGAGGAGAGGGCAGGGCTTTTGGAAGGTCAGTCTTAAAAACTAAAAATACTCCTTTGCAAGGTTGGCTTTGTTGTTCATTTTGAAGGGGGGGGGGGGGGGGGAGGGGGGGGGGGACAAGAGAAGAAATAATTTTTTTTGTGTGTACCTTATAAGCGACCAATGTTCGGGACAGAAACGTACGTTCGATGTCTGGCAGTCTGTGATCTTGTTGTAACTGTAGGTCTTGTTATGGAAGTTCACAAGTGGCTGTAGTCGGCCTTAGATTTCTGGGTGTATGAGGATTCGTGGAACCAAAGAAAGTAGCTGAGCTTGAAACAACCCTCTTTCTTTGTCTTTTCCTACGACTAAAAACCTTGCTTTTCATACCGCGATTTCGGGAACTCAAAAATGAATCAATGTCCACCAGCTCTCCTGCACCCGAAACTATTAGCAAGCGAGGAACACACAAAATAATCCACAAGATTAGTAGCCAAAAAGGTAACGAGATCCTGCACTTCGTAAAGATATTGTTTTTGTACTTTCGAAATTTCCGTGTTCGAAACAAAATAAAAATTACCCCACTGGACGAAAAAAAAAAGGAACGCCGTTACTCTTTCCGTTCCAGTAAAAATGTAACGCGTTCCCGTTCCAGTTCCAGCGAGGCAAAATGGAACGGCGGCGTTCCTTCGTTCCTCCTAAATGGAACGCGTTCCAGGAACGCCGTTCCTTGGAACGCCGTTCCGTACAACACTGCTCTGCGGCCAGCCACTCTCTCTTACTGGCGGCCGGGCCGCTGCGCCGTCATGGAGGGGACTTCTATATGGGGTAACGTTCCTTGGAACTACGCCGCGCGGCAGCCAATGCGAGCCTCGTTCCTTGAAACTGGGATGCGCGCCAGCCAATGGAACCCTATCCATCAAATCGCTGCTACAGACGACAGGCCTCGCTCCATTGCGACAGTCGAGTTTAGGCTCCGTTTGGCGCGGCTTCAAAATGTGATAACGTCGGTTCGCTACATGAGACCGTTAAGGCTTTCGCATTAATATGATTGTAATGATTTAGAATAATTTTAATGAGCCGAAATTTTGGTAAGAGGTTTAAAATAAACACCAGGATCTATTTTTTGCTGAGCATGAAAAATCCAAAACAGAAGCTTTAGGCGCGCTATTTTTCTTCTAGATCCCCAATGGCTCAGGCCCGCACTCGCGTAACATTTTATTAACCCAGGAAGTCGATCTGTAGTCAGATTGTAAGAAACATGCAGCCTGTGTTCGCGCTCTCTCAAGTTAGTTAATGTCGATCTTAGTAAAGGGTCCCAAACAACGGAGGCATACTCGAGTGTCCACCGTATCAAAGTTTTGTATGTTGTTAGCCTTAATCCTCAGTTTTCCCGTTTCAACCCGCGTAATATGCGCTACGCGGTTGCACAGATATTTATAATGTGAGATTACCATTTCAAATCTTGAGTTGTTGTTACTTCTACACCCTGAAAAAAGGGGGTGTAGACGTTGCACCCCTTGTCATATATACGACCCCCAAAACCTCAGTTCGACGTACAGCGCGCTGACGTCGAACTGACTGATGACGCTGCGATAGGATATATTAAACAGTTAAAGTACGTATCAAAGCCTACAGGAAAAATACACACAGGTTTCGCAGTCGAGCCTAAAAAACCCCGATAACTTTTTTTTGCATTCAGTCATACTTACATTAACTGTTTTAATGAGTTGTACAACTCGGCTATCAAACCGCTCGTGAAATTTGGTGGCGTCGGTACAACGTCAGTGCGCTCTACATCCAACTGAAGTTTTGGGGTGTTGTATATGTGGCAAGGGGTGTAAGGTCTACATACCCTTTTTTTTAGAGTGTAAATGCTTTAAGGTTTCTACTTCGGTCAGTTCTAAATGTCCAATTTGAAAATAAAAAGCGGATACGTTCTTTTTATTAATGATGTGAATGTACTATGACTTGCTGACGTTAAGTTTCTTTCGCAAATAAAGGCACCACTGGCTAATCTCATCCAGACATTGATTTAACGCTACATGATTGTCAGACGCTCTGATTGGTGACTAAATGAAACGGTCATCTGCGAATAAGTTAATGTCTATTGGAGGTTTAATAATTCTGGCTATGTCATTGATATAAAGAAACTAATGGTTTTAACACAGACCCTTGTTGTACCCCTTACGTCACTTTTAAGGAGCCTGATGAGGCTCATCGAATTCTAACTGTCTGTGATTTCTTTTTGAAGTACGCTTCGATCCAACTGGTGATATTTTTATTTGTTCCTATATGTTTTAATTTTGTTACTAACTTTTTATGCCAAACGCGATCCAGTGCCTTCTAAAAATCAATAATTATAACATCAATTTGTGTTTTAGAGGTCATTGCAGAACTAAATTCCTGGAATGTTTCTACCAGTTCGGTTGTCATTGATAAACCCGACCTAAGCCGAGCAGTTTTGAACAAAATAATGTAGTTTTAAAATGCAGTTTTAACATGTAGTTTAAAAGTGTAGATTTTATAATGTAGTTTTTTTTTCAAATCGATCTCATGTTTGCTAGATTTTTCAAACGTTCGTTCACTCAAATGTAAATAGCAAATTTCATTTAAAACATATATTAAACTTGTATTTAATAAAAAATAGAATATTGAGCTTTCCGGTGATGTCAAAGTTATTAAAGTGTCTTGAAAAGGTCCCACTTAAAAAATGCCACACGTTAAAAACTATCAAAAAGACAGAACCATGTTTTGGTCCCTAGTGTTGGAAGTCAAATGTGTGACTACTTGCAGTATTTTATCTCCAAAAAATACTGCACTAGGACTATTCAGTGCCAATCTCAAAAAAAATTTCTTACGTTTACTGAATTAGGAAAGAGTTGTTTGCTTTTTATTAATTCTTCATTTTTGAAAAAAAAAACATTTTTTTTAATTAGTAAGAAATATTAAGCATAAGCTACACTCGCAAGTGCAAGTGTAGCGTGTGCTACACTTGCTCTAGCAGTACAATAGAGTATATTATAAACTATATCTTAAAGTCTCATTGGTTTTATCATGTGTTTAATGTTTATATCATGCAAAATTGCATATATTTGTGTGCACCTCCCTGCGATGAGCACACCAATTAGAAACTACAATCGCGGGCTGGCAACAACTATGTTGACGCTTATGTTGAAAAAGTAGTCAAAAAGACTCATAGATGTTCGTTGAGCTAAAAGTCTAATGGCGAATTCCAGTGGTCGCTTTGAAGCGCGTCGAGATTGACGTTTCTGGAACGCGCCTATTTAACTGGGCGATCGGGACCGATACCGGCGTGTTTCACTCCTCCTTGTTGGATCAGCTTCCGATCCAGATCTCGGTCCGTGTCCGAGATAAGGTCGCTCCGTCGATTTTGGCAGATTCGACCGGAAGCTAACCTGGCCACCTCTCGGCGCGCACACGCGACTTCCTTTCTCGCCGGGCATCTTGCCTCGGAAGAATTTTTATGGACCGCTGTTAACCTCCGGGCAGCCCCCCGAGACTGAGACTGAGGTTGGTCTGACTGCGTTTATTGCATCTCGGCAGCCGGACGAAGAGCCTCGAGCGGCTAGGTTTATTTATTTTTATTAGTTCAATCATCGTAGTACGCGCCGCTGACGCAGCAGATTAAACAGTGACGCCCTCGCTGGCGTCGTTAAGCGAGACCAACAAAACGACAACATAGAACCTCTCGCGAAGTGCCGCCCGCTTTACTGATGCCGCTGCTTGATGACAGTTCGTCGTCAACTTGCTTGAGCAGCTCCTCCAGCAGCAGTGGCTAGAGTAACAGCGACGACGAAGCTTGCTTGTATATCCCGCATGAATTCGACTGCCTTTTCGGACCTCCGGAGAAGAGGCCGAGAATTAAAACGTACTTGCACACAGTACACAAGTGTTCCCATGAAAAGGCAAGTGGGCTACGTTGATGCACATCGCTTATCAACACGCATCTTTTACACCATAATTAGCGTCTCTCATGCGTTGTACACCTGTTGTTAGTGCCGCGATTGTGAAAACATCTGCTTCAAGATCCGGGACCGCGGGAAGGCGATTCAAAGGAAGGTGAATGACGGGAATGCATCCCCCGATCCCGGAGGAGTGGTCATGTTCCAATGGGGATCTGGAGGCGAAGCGACTCCGTTGTGATCGCGTGCTCTAAATCGGATGCGGTCCACTGATCTCGACGTGCTCCAAAACGCCCAGTGGAACTCGCCATAGAACAAAAACAAGTTAAAAATGTACCTGGCTCCAGCGCATTACGAGTTATCTATTAAGAGTAGGCTTTATTTTGGAGAATGGAGGTAAATACCACTTTGTGCTTTTTCAGAACACCGCTGACAATTTACAAAGGCGGTAAGTATATTAAACGTATCTAACTGTGGCTAATTTCTGACACGTATATCTCATTGAAGTCAAGTTGAATCATATGAGGTGCAGATATTGTTTTTAAAACAATATTAAATATATTTAACATACATGTAATGACAGGGAAAACTCAAAGTAAAAAAGTACAAAAATAAATAGCATCACACAACTTGCGAGCTATATTACGCTATTCCAAACAATTTATTGTGGTCAGGGTGAACCGTTTTTTTTTTTTCAAAACAAGGATTTCTGTTAAATTACATTCTAAACTTTATTTTTGCGTTTGAGAATGATACATTTTTGTCAAGAAAGCAGGGAGAGGAAAGGTTGCACTTCTGAAACGTCAAGACGTTACGACTCTGTATTTGTCGGCTGCAGAACATTGTCGCCGAGTTCCGAAAATAGCGAAAGGTAATCTGCATTTACAATGCTCATACTTTAATAACTGTAACAAAATATGTCAGACAAGTAGCATATGGTATGTCTTATAACGTAAACTGTATATATAGACATTAGTACATTTATTTAATTTTTAAGATGATGACAACTTGCTAGATGATGACTGATTAGAGCATAACATTGTGAAATAGCTAATTGAGAAAGTCAGGCATTGTGGCTGAACTTTAAGGGGAACACTGGTCTTGGAGCTTTTTTCCTTATTTTGTGACCAAACTCAATGAAACTGCACAAGCTTGTTCAGCTTTCTGTGCTGATTTTATATATCTTGTAATTTCTTCAGTCAGTAGAATTGTCCTGAAGATAATTAAAACTTGCCTACCTTTGTTTGGAGGAATGATAATGGTTAAAAAACTGCTCAACAAATATCCTTTTTAACACATGGCCAGATACTGCCAGATACTTCAAAAATTTTCAGGAGGGATATCTCAGCATCTACAGCAGTCAGAATTATAACCTTTCTTGAAATGTGTTGCTGAATGTGTGAAGCATGCAATGTTGGAAGTGCTTTAAAGATAAACCTGTTATTAGTGATTTTACAACATATTGAAGTTGAGTGCTCAATGCCTGACTAACAAGGAATAAAACAAAAGATCAAATAGAAAATTTTCTAGACTTATATTAAAAAATCTTCTCTCAACATTTTATGCTTCACACATTCAGCAACACATTTCAAGAAAGGTTATAACTCTGACTGCTGTAGATGCTGAGATATATCTCCTGAAAATTTTTGAGGAGTCCAAAAATTGTGTTTGTGAAAACATTGTTTTTAGAGTCAACTTTAATGCACATTCAACCCGCATAGACATTATAAATTGATTTATCGCTGAAATATTCATCCACAAAATTAGCAGCCTGGTAGATTCAGAAGAACAACAGCCATCGCCGTTTTCAAAACAATGCAGTTTTATGAAGCTTTGTCTCCAAAGACCCATGTCCCCACTTAAGCCCTTTTGTTACAGGTAACACGCAGTTTTCATTGAGCGTGAGTTCGATAGCTGATTTTTCTGATTTGAGTTATGATCGATTAAATAGCAGCTCGAACCACACAGGCCGGTCGCCGCGTTGGCTATTCCTTTTATTGGCTTCTAACTGAAACATATCCTGAGCCCGTCGAAGCAGTTAGAATAGTTTTGTAATCACCTATTTTTAAGAAAGACACTCTGAGCGGCCGTTCAGCACCCTGCCCGCTGCACACAATTAGCGCGGACAAGTGTCCGTTTTCAATATTTGTGGGCAGCGATGTCATAAAGGTAGAAACCGAAACAACGTTCAGGGTTATACGCATCTCCAAAATTTACACAATACGCGCGTTGCGGCAAAAATGCGTGAAAGAAAAATTACCAAAACATAGCACTGGATTTTGAAGATCCGGTGCTCGTCAAGACTCCTACCCTTCATCAAAGCAGTACAGAACACCGTATTTAATTACAAAGAGGTGCACGACGCGTCTACCGCATGTTCCTCTAAGCATTAAGCGTTGAAAATAAAGTATGTCTGCTAGGTAGGTAACCACGAATTTATGTTACGCTGATAGTTCTAGCTTCGTCCTTCTGGCTGTACAAAAAATACAACGAAGAAAAATACTCTAGTTTGCGATGGGAAACGCAAGAACAAGCACATGTGGCAAAACGAACTCCCATTGTCGTGAAAGTTGTTCGCCAGGTGGCGCGACATTTGAAATCAAACTTTATTGCATGGAGTCTCTACCGGTATTTTTGCAGATATATATATTTTTTTCATTTCGATCTTGTTTGGAATTGATAGCATATAAATATTTGTCCACCAAAGTGTTAAAGAGTTTATATTTTTTTTCCGAGAATCTAACGCATGAAGCAATTGGTTCCAAATGAACCTTAGAGCCGCATTCGACTGATTCAAATTTCACGAGAGAGATGTTTGCGTACAACTTAGAATATAAAAACCCTGTTCTTCTGATGATTAGGTGGTTAATCTGCACTTATTGCTGTGTCTATTTTCGTTATTCTTCCTATAATTATGTAGTGCTGGTAGAGCCCATTTAAATGCACAGAAAAGAAGTCTATGAGGGTAAAATATAATATACCCATGAGATGGACACGTAAAATATCTTGTTTATGGTGAATGAATGAATAAAATAAAAATTCTCTTCGCAAACTATCATTAAAATAATATTTTATTTATTGCTTCTGTTTTTGTGTCTATACTCTATATTAAAGGTTTTGGTTTATATCATCCGTTGTGTAAGGATGTGGTACCACTTATTTTAACATACGACTCCAAGAACATCACTGCGACGGGCGAAAGCCTGGGTTTTTTAATTAGAGACACGTGAGTTGCCCCATTCATTACTCAATTTAGGTTAATTATTTTTTTATCAAACCTCTTCGGTTACTTTGTTTAAAATTTGGTACCAATCTTACGTACTTTTCGTAAAGATATTCGTTCTACTCTTTAAAAGTAAATATGTTGTTCTTAGAATATAACACTACACTCAGATTTATATCGATGTCAATTAAAATGTTACTAACTGGTATGAACGGTAGCAAACGTAAGAATTGTACGCAGCTGTTAGGTTTTGTATTGAAAAAAAAAAGTTCCGACAGTGTAGCATTGTGTGCCTGATCTAAGGCTGAAGTACACTGCCTTCTCGCATATCATTCGTTTAGAAATTCAGATAATCTAGAACTTTTACTTCGTCTGCTAAAGACGTCTGCTCTCTTCGCTGAATGCTCGTTCGTTGGCGGCAGTTGGCGTCGCTACCGCTTGCGTTATCTCTTGCCTCCCGTGCGAAGTAGCGCTGGTGCTTCGCGCGGGAGCGAAGCCACCGGCGAACCGGTGGCTTTGCTGCATTTTCATCGGAGCTAAGCCTTTTTTTTTCTTTACTTTTTCCTCAGGTAAATTCGCTCTTTGCAAATTTAACAAAAAAAGAAAAAGCACCGTCTGTGGGCAACGCTGCACAAAGTCGTAGCGCGATAGGTTAAGAAACTGAATTTTAAGTTCGATTTAAAGAGCCTGGCGGCTCCTTGAATCACCCAGTATAACAAATGCACTGCCACTTCGTCAAGCCGAGCTGACGACCTTGTGATCGAGTTCTTACCAAAAATGTTTTTTGAATAAGCCATAAAGATTTTAAGGAAAGAAAACTGTGAAAGCACGCTGATTTATCACTGCCAAAGAAAGAGAAGATGCTGCATTTATTGGGGAAGATAATAACGGCCTGTTGTAGTGTTGTCACTGTCTGCTCCTGACAGATTATTGCTGGGAAAGCAAAATTTTATCAAGAAAATAATACAGAGTCTTTCAGACAGGGTTAAGGAAGGCCGTTTAATGTCACGGGAAATTGACAATAGGAGTGTGTTCGCGTCACCACAGCGCACCAGCTCATTCAGAGCAGCAGATGGTGACGCTTGCGGCTTTCTTAGGCTATAAAATTTTGCATCACCCCCCTGTACGCGTAATCACCTGACCTGGCTGGTGAGAACCCCCGCGTGACAGTTGTATTTTAGAATTCGGACATGGTGAATGTCGAGGTAAAAAAAATCCTTAAGAGTTAACTGAGGACTTCTGAACGCGTATCCCGGAACTCAATAATCGTAGAGAGAAGAGCATCGCATTATTGTGCTAGACATGTGAAGAAGCACAAACTCTCCTAGTGATGCTCATGAACCGAGTTTTCTCCCCTCGGTAATAATACGGACTTCAAAACTGCCCCTCGAATATCACCACAATTTTCACGGTCACTATGTTAAAAGGTAGTTCTCGAAAGCCGAAACCCACACCCCAAAGTCACACAAAATGTATTAAATATGACACACTTGATGTACAGACAGCATTGCTATAAGCTGTCCTACTTGAGCACTAGCTGAAAAGGGTAAAAGTCTGCATGCTAAGCTTTGATGTGCTAAAAGATAAAAATGACTGCCTCAATGAGATACTAGGAAATATGGTAGTCTATGCCCACCTCTCTCCTAAATAAACTAGACGTACCCGGCATTGCTTGGGGGAAGAGCGTGTTGGTTTAAGTCATGGATGTAGAAAGAATAAAACAATTAAAACAGGGACAACACAACCACAAATATGTGGTTGTGTTGTCCCTGTTTTAATTGCTTTATTTTTTCTTCATCCATGAAGTACCCGGCCTGAATGCCGCTGGGCCCGCTCATATGTCTGCGCGCTGTATAACTATCGTGAACAGTATGAGGGGGAACGCCGGCGAGCGTGGTCTTCGATACACGCTGCACTGCCCCGAGGCTGATAAAACTATGAAAGAAGGTGGAGTACGAAAGCTGCGAAAGTAAGCGCATTGGAGTAAGCGCAGACTCACGTAGCCCTATCACAACTCTCCATTTTTATTAACTTCCAGGTTACGCAGCATGTATCGAGGTCACTGACATTTCGTGCTCGCGTCGTTAGAGGAGCCACGAGTAAGACAATTGGCTCCGCCTGGCTAATGTTTTTGCTCGATACACAAAGACATGTTACACGACGTTACTTAATCTTCGCTCAAAAAAATGTCACTTAATTTACTAACAAACTGATCCTTCTTGCAGTCAAGTTCACCAAGATTTATTGGAGGGTGATTATTTACATAAGGTATTAAGGAAGTTTGCGGAATATATATTCAGTTTGATTAGTAAGGATGTGTGGATTGTCGGTATGCGGAAATGGGCAACAGAACTTTATACCGATAATGTGTATAACATTGGTACCTATTCCTGATCCGTTTTCTTTGAATATAAAAGTTTGCATTACCCTATGTACCCATCTCATGAAACGCATATTATAAATTTAAAATCGCCACAACTTAAACACTACTTGAAAAAGGAAAAAACGAAGTCGAACTTTAACTCTTCAGTAAAGTCCTAATTAAATAAGATTAGGCAGTGATTATTTTCATTTCCATTTATGTTGATGTACTGCTAATCTTTCGTAAACCATAATGACGGCAATTAAAAAAATTATGTACTGTAAAGCTTTTTTTTTCGTGGCCCCTATTTTTCGCAAATCGATCACAGAGGACATAATCGTGGCAACTAAATTTCGCGAATTCCCGACGTCTACAATGAAACACTTAAGCAGCGAAATTTTCGCGTGCCCTTAAATTTCGCGATCTTTTTTAATTCGCAAATTTGCAAAAATTAAGGGTTCGTGAACTTTAAGGGTTATACAGTATTTTATGGGTCCTTCCAAGCAATACTTAACAATATACTTAAGGAACCTATTTAAAATGGTACAGATGAACTAGTCCAAAAGTGAAAAGAACATACAAACCTTTGTGATATAAAAATGCTTTCTATACACTCTGAAAGCCTGATGTAGTTAATAGACTACTACTTCTTTACACAATTTTTTTTATGCAGATTAAGTTTAGTTTTTTTTACAGCCTTAATATAAGTAACGTCTACACCTGGGTCGTTAAGACATCAGAAGAGGAAAGGAAACAGCGTTTTGAGTAAGTCTCAAACGGTGCTGTTGAAATCTGCTGCCTATTTATTTACTATGGGTTTCCGGAGAGTGTGCATTACAAAAAAAAGAAATTTTAATCAAACAATAAGTGTGTTATTACATCTCCCTCCTTTTTCACCTTAACTCGATAAAGTCATAAATTTAAGACCAGTTGATTTTCAGGAGATACTGAATAATAGAGAAACCAAAGAGCATGCTGCTTTCTTCAGGATATTTGATCTGACGCAAACCAAACTGAAGGTAACACTTTAGGATGGTCCTAACTGTTTCGGTAACGAAAATTTTCAAAGAAGTAAAGCGCACGTAATATTGTCATAGAAACGTAGTCCGCACATCAAACTAATCTACTGATGCGAAAAATGCACGTCGTTGCCAACAGCTCAAAAGCCTTGCATAGGAAATGTTTTCAATTCCTCAAAGACTCAACTTTTGTTATGTCTGGTGAAGGTCGAGAAGGCAGTTTATTATTAAAGTAAATAATAAATCACTTCTGGTCGTCTTATTTTGATTCTATAATTGATAAATAGGTTTTTATTTTTTTATATCTTAGTTCTCTGATATATGTCCACAGTCTTCGAATATCTCGAAATGCTTTCCTCTGCACAAATAACTAAACAATACTTAATTTAGATATTATACATGTTTAAACGCTGCATTTAGTTCCAATCTGAAATTAAATATTCACGTACACTATCTTGGCACGTCGGAAGTTCGCCGTCACGACGCCCCCCCAAAAAAAAACACAGTAAGGATTTTATTCGATTCCAGTTAGTGTTTACTGGAGCTAAGGATATCAAAATATTGTAGAGTCAGATTCGTTTATTTATATTTCGTATATGCTCGTCTCTTTATTCAATTTCACATAATTTCAAAAGTCTTGCTTTTAGAAATTGAGTGGACATAAAATATCTAATATTCAAATAAAGATATAGTGCTGGTTCTTGTCAGTGTGCCTAATTTGAAATTCCAATTTTCATTATACTTATATTTGAAGCCTCCTTTTTTTGTTTCGAAATATGTTCTGCAAGGCGTATAGTCATTATGTTATATTATTGTTAGTGCAGTATTGGTTAGCTCGGGTCGCTGTACAATAAGAATGTGGACTGTTCAGAGGAGTAAATATCCATTCTTTGAAAGAATATATCTATTCCGAAGATTAGTCAGCCCTAGAGTGACAGAGTAAAGGACTAGATTGGTTACTGAGGTAGGAGTGTTCGTTTATGGCATTTAATCTAACCGAAGCTATAGCACTCTTCGCAAATAATATTTATTATGGTCTGTTCTTGTGTATTTTCAGTAATTGTCAAATTCAACGTCAATTGAAAAAAGAAACAGTGATGTGACCGACTATAACACCCTTTTTGCAAACAAAGGTATGTAAAACAATTGTATATCTACTTCTTCCGCGAGTTTTCTACTAATTCAACAAAAAGTAACCATCAAAACTATAGAACAAAATAAATATGCTCACCATACATAACAGGGCTTGCTCATTAAATGTTTCAACCTCGCAAAGACATATGATAATTCATGACTATTCAGTTAAACCGGACCAGTTACATGAATTGAAGCATGTTTTACGTTTTCCCTGGGAACTAAGAAAATAAAAATATTTTTGCCTCTGAATCTTAGCGATACTTAGGAGACACAGATTGCGAAGATTGCTTTGAGCTAAGCTGAGTTAAGGTGAAACGTCCACTCTTTCACGGGATGACCTGACGTCATCATCATGTCACGGGATTGACATATAGTCAAGGTATGATGTCGGATAACGTAACATCAGTGACGTATGACGTAACTGCGCGATATCATGAGACATGGCATCATGACACCACGTCATGGTATAATGAGAATGGCCGCTACCTGACCAGGAACGTGATATCGTGACGTCGCGTCTCATGACATCGAACTCCTACATTTGATGTCACGTCATGGGGTAACGTGATGTGATAACACAATGCTACGTCACGCACCGCGCTTTCACGTGGTGCAACATTACTTGACATCATAACTTCTAATCATTACATGATGTCATTACATGGTGTCTATCTGACATGACGTGACGTCAGCAAAGTGATGTCACCTATGCTAGTCTTTCGTAATGACATGGTGCCACGTAAAGCGTTGATGCCTTGTGATGTGGCGCCAGCACGTCACGTCGTGATGTCACGTGACGTCAGCTTGTAACATGAATTTACGCCACGTGACCTCACATATCAACGTAACATTACAGTGGCACGTGACGTCATGTTACGTAACTTGAGCACCATCAGCTTACCTTAGCGCGACGGAATCCGCTAAATTAGCACGTGTATATCCCATGCTTTGGTCACATACACACATACACATGGACATTACACACCAATTCAATTCGCTTGATAAATTTATCGAGGAAAAAGCGTTTCACTTATTCCACTTTGGTTGCACTTCTGCGTTACGATTTTGAACACACTTAGTCTGAACATGGTTTCTGAAACGTATGATGTCACATTCTCAGAAATGCGTGTCTACTTACCCGCAAAACACTCAAAAAGACAAGCTTTGGGATCTATGAAATGAGCTCAGCGAATGGCGCCCGGGTACAACAAATAAAACAAACAAACAAAACTTGTCCCGAGTTTGTTTTTTTCTTTCTGTTACCACTCAATGTTACCAACACGCTCTTCAGTTAATGTTAAAGTTTAACCTTTTTTTAAAATATATTTACATATAAGTTATATACTTTTTTATGTTCTAAATGTGAATTAGCCCGCTACTATTTTTGTGTGTGCTTCATAAATTACGTTCCCACAAGTTACGGATGCATCTAGAAACATTGGTCATACTTCAATTGAAGATTGTTTCTTCACGAATGCTTCGCTTGATCCCATTAAATAAGAGAGTGACAGAACAAAACGAAATAAAGAATAATAAATTATTTAGCTACTTACTCATTTGATGGCTACAAACGCTTTCTTAAATTTTGTTGTAGTGAATGTCACTATACCCCTGAAGTTTGGTTGATTAAGATAGCTTCTATCTTAAATGTTGAAGTTATCTGAGTTACGGAATTTTGATTTGAGTGCCCTTAAAGGAAACGCAGGTTTTTGATTGTTAGATATGCACATGTGCGTAGTAGGTTTTAAAAAATTAATAAAAGCTACGTAAACGCTGTTAAAACCTGCAGGAATGGACACGTAAAAGTCCACATGAAAGGCGGAAAGCAGAAAAACGGAATCGAATTAACATTTCGTAATGTTTCAATGTGATTAATTTGCCAAACGCTAATCACTTAACTGCATGTTGCTCTCTTTTCTAGGTGATCGTTAAAAGACCCAATTTAAGCATTTTGTCAAATTATTTCGTGTGTCAAACAAAATGCAAGAAAATACGCTGATTGAAAATAACTGCTTGAATAAATGGACTTTTTCTTTACAAGAAACAAAATCCTGATTAATAAAATATAAAATAATTCTTTTTGTATGGTTTATTTTACGTTGTTTTTGCACAATCACCTCTCATGATTAGGCTGTTAAATAAGGAGTGCGCTGCAATTATGTTGTGCGAGACATTGATGTGACATGAATGTGGGTCCTCCACTTATTGCACAAAAAAAAAGCATCAAAACGTCAAAAAAAAAAGACTAAATAGAATATTGCGCTGTGAGATTTCTCTCGAACCATTAACTGCTTGTACAAGAATTGTTTCCGAGAGACGAGAACCGTTCTTTTCCGCATCGCGACAACAAACTACCAATTCCCGAAGGTCCAGACTCCGCCAGAATATAGCGCCAGCGGTTGGGACAAGATGTCAAAATTGCAGAACTTACCGTTATCTGTGTAAAATGTAATAATCCAAAAACTAATTTAGTCGACGAGAAAACGCCATCGAGCTGGAGAAGCAGACGGGGTACGTCGGTTTTTGACTGTATCTCTAAGATGGCGCCACCATTGAGGAGCACAGCAGTGTTCGTGTCGTCGTTAGTTTCAGTTTTGTTGTGGGGGTGGCGCACAAGCTAGAAAATGTAATTTTTCAAATTCACTACCTGGTTTCAATGCTATTTTGTTTCGATATGATGGTATTTTTCCTCATGGAAGCTTCGTTAACTTCTATATACATAACCTGTGGTCATTGTTATTTTTCCTGCGATAAAACTATTTGCGATAAAGTGAAAAGGCACACAAAAAACGAAGACAAATGCTTTTTCCTGGATCTTCATCCGCTTTTTATTTCATCATTAACCACGACCAACTCGCCCAGCTTTCAATCCTGCTGTAAAACTATTTTTGTTTTTTGTTCACTATGTGAAACAAGCTGGTTCTGTATTTTTCTGGATCCGAGGTGAGCATGTTCTTTTGGATTTCACTTGTCCAGCATAATGCGACTAGGAAAGCGTCGGCTGATTATCATAGCTAGAGCGAAGTCTGAAAATAAAATAAAGCGCTTTCGATCAACCTTTTTACAGTTATATTCGAAACAGGGACGGCTGTCGCGTGAGGAGCGGACAGGTTTTGTTAAGGCAGCATTCTGGAGCACCGAAATGCGCCTTTTATAGAATAGTGAAGAAAATAGAATCGCACACTTGGCGGGGGGATATTACACGACACGCGGTGCAGCTTGGGGTCAGTTGAGTCTATACGCTGTTGTGAGGTCTGTCCTAGGGCTCCGCTTCGCTTAAAGGGATACTGAACCGAAATTTCGAGCTCACTAAACAAGGCCGGGCGGATAGGCGGGAAGCTGCAAAACCAAAAAAAAAAATCACTCATACGGCGATATATCTAACGGATCGCCGTATTTTTTTGGAAAATAAGTGCGCGATTGAGCCTGGCCGACAAGGTCGACGAGACAAGGCACGTCACGATTCCCATTCTCTCTCCACCGCGCTACGTCCCGTCAAGCTGGTGAACCGAAGCGAGGAGGAGAGAAGCGAGGCCGCTTCTCCTCATTTTCAAATTCTCCCGGACGACAGTTACGTCAAAGAACTCGCTTGATCGCGCCCTTCTTTTCCAAAAGTACGGCCACCCGTTTGAGTTATCGGTATACGAGTGATGTTTTGGGGTTCGTAGCGTCCCGTTCAACACTTCTGCAGCCTTTGCGAAATCCAAATTTTGGTTCAGTATTCCTTTAAAACCAGAGGCTTGACGTGACCACCCAGGTGCCATGCGCAGAGTCCAAACGTGGTCTCGTACGCTTTGTGCGCTGCAGCTCTCATTTGGTCTGTGATGAGGGCAAATGCTACTTCAATACGATGCTTGAGGACATTAATTTTTCGATGCGGCCCTTATATACCTCGGCTTCACGAAGCCCCTATACAAAGAAATCACAAATTGTGAGGTCTACTGATCTGCAAGAATCAACGAAAGAATATAAAACACTTAGGGACAAGGACAGACAGCACAGTTCTTTCAACTATCAGCGAACATTTACTGATGTCTCCTTCAATACGTACAATCTCCCTCCCAAATAAATAAACTGCGCTGAAAGAAAGTGAAAGAACTGTGCTGTTTGTCTCTGTACCTAAGCGTTTTTCTTTCACATTTCTTTTGATTTTGGTATTTTTACCAACTCGCTCTATGTTCTTTCTCTGGTGATCTCACTACTCTAAAAAGACCCGAAAAGGGCCTTTTTTAGAGTAGTGAAGAACATAAAATCACAGATTTGACGGGGGGATATTGCACTACAAGCAGTGCAGCTTGGGGTCAGTCGAGTCTATATGCCGTTGTCAGGTCTCTCCTAGGGCTCCGCTTTGCTCAAAACCAGAGCCTTTATGTGACCACCCAGGCGCCATGTGCAGAGTCCAAACCTGGTCTTGTAAGCTTTGAACGCTGCAGCTCTCATCTGGTCTCTGATGAGGGCAAATACAAAGAAAGAAGAGTTTTCGTCTGTCGCGTAGGCGGTCTGCCCTCTCCGCGCTGGGAACAACCACTCTAGTCGGTGTTCAGTGCATAACAAAGTTTATTCCCACGAGAGCCAAAGATATAGCCCGTACTTGGGGGGCCATAAAAAAAGGGTGTTATCGCTTGATAACAACAAGTAACATCTAGATAAGTAAATTTGACGGATTCCACAGGAATGATGACGCTGCAACATTTCTTCTCTTAATATTGCAACCGTTGCATAAGGTTCCTGGTCCGCGTAGACCGTCGTAATGGCGGCGGTTCTTGAACGCCGGCGTCTGGAACCTCTGGCTGCCTTGCCGGCTCCACTTGTGGTCGCCCCGGGCTCTGGGTTGGAAGGTCCATCGAGTCGTCGTGGCGGCCTTCCTGTGTGTCCACCGTCCCATGTCTGGTCCCGATGTCGACGAACCGTTCCTCCTGGGGTCTTGATGACTAGCATTCTTGAGCCCAGATTGGACATGACCGTG